CCCCCCCAAACTCCTCTCCGCCGTCTTTTTCACCGGAAAATCCTGACGTTCTTCGCCGGCGTGATTCATTTTTTAGATAATTTCAATTACTAATCCCTTTTTCGTTTGTGTATTTCGATTTGCGACTACTCCGAATCTTCAAAAAAGCGTTTTTTTTGTTTTTCATGATCTGGAAGAATCTGATCTGATCTAATCTGAGCCGTCGATCTAAGCTATGGAAAGGATCGTCGGAGGTAAATTCAAGCTCGGTCGCAAAATCGGTAGTGGATCGTTTGGTGAAATTTTCCTCGGTTAGTGTAATTTATATGTTTTGAGCATTGTTTTATTAATTGAGCTTGGATACTTTTAAAGTTTGATGTGAATTTTGATAATTATGCGTGGATTTTTGTTTTTGCAGCTACACATATTGATTCGTTTGAGATCGTCGCAGTAAAAATTGTGAGTTTTTTTTATTTGCTTAAAAGCCTTGAATTTTGTTGATTTTGTTTAATGTTTCCTTTTCATTTGATAAGCGCTTTGTGTATCAGGAAGGTAAACTAGTTAAGTCTAATTGTAATTGGATCATGAGGTAAATTTTGTACTTCCTTTTTGGAATCCTCATTATGTGGATATGAGATTAAAGACAGCTACTTAGCACCCAGAGAAGTAGCCTGGTGGTGGTCAGTGAAGTGGGAGGAGAACCATGATGCCTTAGGTTCAAATTCCACTTCGTTGGCAGAGTTACCTGGTACATGTGCTGGTTGAATAATCGAGGGCGCGCAAGCTGTCCAGACCTGATACATGTGCTGGTGGGACGTAACAGGTTCCTGGTGGAATTGTTGAGATGCGCACAAGCTGGCCCTGGCACAATTGCTATTGAAAAAGAGCTTAAAGACAGCTATTTGTGGAGTCTGTCTGCTATATATGGCAACTAGGGTTTGTTAACTATATTTTAAATATAATTTTACTAATTTTTCCTAGCCAAAGCATTTAATTTATCAGTAGCAGACTGAGATTTCCTTGATTACTGTTATAGTAGAATGATGTTGATGTATTTTCACGGTTTTCTCTGTATTTTCTTTCTTTCTTTATTCCACTGGTTATTTGCTTTATTAGTAACTTTTTGCATTATTAGTAACTTTCTTTATTCCACTGGTTATTCACATGTTGCTGGGATCTAACATGATAAGACTTTTTGCAGGAGAATAATAAGACTAAACATCCTCAACTTCTCTACGAGGCCAAGTTGTACAATATTCTCCAAGGAGGAAGTATGTTTTTTACTTATTTTTTTTAGTGATGTTGATGTATATTTTGTGCACTTTATGGTTAGAATACTGATTATGTGTAATTTATTTTCTGTACTTTTCTAGGTGGTATACCACATATAAAATGGTCTGGTGTGGATGGTGATGACAACGTTCTGGTCATGGATTTGCTGGGTCCTAGTTTGGAAGATCTCTTTGTCTACTGTGACCGGAAGCTTTCATTGAAGACTGTTTTAATGTTGGCTGACCAGATGGTAACAACAGTTTTCCTCAACACTCTTTATAACATTTGTGCGACTATGTTTTGGTACAATTAGAACCTGTCTGACAATAGCTGCTATTTCTACCTATTGGACTCCCCCCTTCCCAATATTCTTATCCATTATAATTCTCAGCAATTCTTTTTAAGTAAAATTGTTGGGCTATGTTTGATCTGTCTGATTTTTTTGTCAATGATTTTCTCGTCACATAGATATTGGAGAAATATTAAACCTTAATATATTTTTAAACAGCACAAAAAGATTGGTGCCTTTCCAATAAATTCTTAGGACTTTTGCACCATGTTCAATTTATTGTTTGAACTTTTTATTTTTTAATTAAGCAATTTATTGTTTGAATTTCTTGCTGGCTTTTCCTTTTTAGCAGCTTGGCTAATCAGGTTCTTGTGCCTCTCCTATTATCAGATTACCAGAATTGAATATGTACACTCTAAAGGCTTTCTACACAGGGATATTAAGCCTGACAACTTTCTGATGGGTCTTGGTCGAAAAGCAAATCAGGTACTCTACATTCCACCTCTTTTTATTGGTTTTATTGTTTTGTTTCTTTTTCTTTTATTCTGATTGAATACTATTCTCATTGTGTAAATATCAGGTTTATATTATTGATTTTGGTCTTGCTAAAAGATATCGTGATGCAACTACAAATCGCCATATTCCTTACAGGTATTTAAGTTTTTGAATCTTCTAATCTGAACTAATTTCATCATTTATCATTTACCTTTAAGCTTCCAGGTACTCTCATGAGTGTTGATGCCTGATTGTAATTTTATTTGGTTAAAAGTTCGAAAAGAGAACCTCGATCATTCTTTGAAATGCAGCATTATAGATCTAATTTTAGTATCTTTTCTTTTGTGCAGAGAGAACAAAAATTTAACGGGAACTGCACGTTATGCCAGTTGTAATACTCATCTCGGAATTGGTAAGCACACATATTCTTTTCCTTGCTTGTTTCTCTCTCCCCATCATCTCCCCCATTTGGAAAGAAAAATAAGTAACCATTATCCTGCCTGTGAGAAAGAAAGCTGTTAAAACAGAACCTCTCTTAACATTTAAATCATTTTTGTATGTTATGCAGAGCAAAGCCGGCGGGATGATTTAGAATCTCTTGGATATGTCCTACTTTATTTCTTGAGAGGCAGGTGCGTGTTTTTTTCAATTAGATTAAACCTTTTTTTCTCTTTGGTCCTTCTACATGCACGTGTATCAAATATTGTTTTGACCAATATATTGGTTCTTCAACAGCCTCCCATGGCAGGGTCTAAAAGCTGCCACAAAGAAGCAAAAGTATGACAAAATATGTCAAAAGAAGTTATCAACTCCTATTGAGGCACGTGTACACTGAATAGCTTCCCTAGCCACTGCTCATTTTGTCTTTTTTTTTAAAACAGTATTTTAAGGTTCTTATTCTGACTCTTTGTACTGTTTATTGGTGAAGGTTTTATGCAAGTCTCATCCTGTTGAGTTTGCTTCGTATTTCCATTACTGTCATTCGTTGACATTTGATCAGCGGCCTGATTATGGATTTTTAAAGCGCCTATTCCGTGAGCTTTTTACCCGTCAAGGTATGTGTAAGTTAAGCT